TGGTTTGGAGCTCGGATAGCGCGCGTCGGGGCATTCAGGTGCGACAGGGTGCGACTAGACATTCGGGACTAGCCCCCAGGCGTATATAAGTACGCTGAGCAATGCATTGTCACTCCCCCACCCATGGCCTCTCAATTCTGCCAGTTTTCCATTTACGGAAAGTGACCTCAAGCTGACTCCAGCTCGGCTTGTGGAGCATCGAGGTCAACCGAGCTTGACAGCCCATCAGCTCGAGGGGAGCTCGACCTCAGCTCGCGGCAGCACTACAAGCGATAGACGTGGGCCCGGCTAAGAAATGATGGTTACACCGTGATATCCCGATCAAAAACCTCCCGCAGCCCGTGATCGCCGGCACCACCCGCCTCCAAATTAGGTATGCGTGAGCGTCATACATCCTATACCAACCTACAAGGGGGGAAAAATGGGTCCAGCTCTGCATTCCATTTTATTGTGCAAGTGGCCCACTAGCTAGTCTGGCCCATTGAGCAGTCGGATGCAGTAGCCTAGGAGCACTCAGAAATATTTTGAAGAGTTTCAGATGACAAATGAAGGACTAGTTCCGAAATCAACCCGTTGACATAAATGTGGGAACTAGTTCCCCATTTCTTTGCCAAAACTCCTCAAATATTTGGGAGAGGTCTTGGGACGTCCGCGACACATTCTCACAGGTATGTTGAGCCTGATTCTCTATTCTCACTTTTGAGGCTCTTGAACACAGATTAATCATCCAAAAAGGTGCGTCAGGTGGGGTAACCGTAAATGTCTGTCCGCTACCTTATGATAAGTTATGAGGCTTATGAAAAGTCCCAGCTGCATCACAGGAGACGGACCTCCGGACGCGCAACACGGTGGAGCACTTGTTAAGCCCGAAAGCTGCACGTGAAATTATTCGAGTGTGTGGATCCACACGAGCAAAGGATAGGATATATAATCTGGATCCACACAGACCGCATCGATCCTGAGGTGAAACACCGCAAAACGTGCATTGCAAGCGTGCAAACACTTTCCTGAATTTTGTTACTGTACATACCCGCGAGTAGAAACATTTCTCCGCGTCAAAAACGTTAGCACCTTGGTTAGATGCAGCGCGCCGACAATATAGAATGCAGCCGTCTACTGAACGGATTCGCAGACTGTCGCGCAGATCTGGTGTGCAGCCTTCTCGCATGCATGAACGAGTTGAATGCTTTGATACACTAGACTGAAGTCCTGCACCGTGACAGAGATGAGAGAAGCCACGAACGCGTCAAATGCCTGCAGAGAATGTGAGCGAGGATTCAGATAAATGAAATATAGCTCACCGGGGACAACAACTGTGCGCGTTCCAGCTCCGCAAGTGTCGTGTTCCGACGGACCTTCATGCTTCGAATAAACACGGGTTATCAATCCCGCGCTGGATAAATCCATTCGCTCGGATCGCTCCACCTCGCGCGTGGAGCAGTGTTGGCGGGAAGCGCGGGTAGACCTTCGCGCTGGCTGATACTCCTCCCATGACTGGGAAAGACGACTGGTACAGTCCTCGGCATGACCGATGATGTTACCTGTCGTTTCGGGCTTGAGAGTTTCATTTGCCCACTCGACACCGTCCGTTCGTGGCCACGAGGATTATTTGCTGCCGCGATGCACATTGAGTGGAAAGGCGCAAAGGAAGACGATAAACACAGACATACTTGCAGTAACGACAATCAAGCCTCCACACCCGCTCTTTCCCCGACTTGGCTTGTAATGCGACAATGCCCAAGTTAATTTGTTGCTTGCGCGAGCAATAGCTGTTACCTCGTCTTACCCCAGAACTGCTTTCGGAGTCCTCGGAGACTGGCTGTACAGTGCGTCGTGAGGAGTTTAACATCTCGAACAGCCGTTACCTGCGCTACCGCCTTGTTGGCCGACTTTTTAGTGGATTTCGGCGCGCCAGTCCCAGCTTTAGGCTTGCCCTTCGCCTTGGACTTACTGCTGGTGTTGCCGAATCCCCGGGCCGAGAACCGGCGCGTCAGTGAGGTACGAAGATGAGCAGGGAATGGTATACATAGCGGTCGCTTTTTTCGCCTGCTTTTTCGGAGGAGCATGCTTCCCTTTCTCAGCCCTCTTGCGCTTTTTTCGGAGTGCCCTTCGAAAGTTCAGCATGCCCGCTCAATAATTATGATATGCCTCGTCGTCTATCCACGAATGCTGCATCCAGTATGCGCTAAGAGCCTAGGATCAGCGAGACCGTTTGCCGCGGCATACCAGACTGAAATGGTCGGCGTGGTCGTCGGGCTTCTTCTGGAACGCGCGTTCCCATTGCCGACGGAAATATCGGTAGCCGACAGTCGGACCGGCGTTTATGTAAAGGCTGTAACTATAGCAGCGTGATCCTGGTTGATCCGTAGACCGATGGCCGAAATACGGATTCTAAATTGGTCTCCATATCTGGATATGAATTGGACACACGTGTGATCGCACGTGCTGTCGTAGTTGATCCGGTCCGGGTCACCGGACACGGTCACTCGCTGCCCATCCAGCGCCATTTCTGCGTGAAGGCACGCGCCGAACAGGGTGCAAGCGGTGTCCCATCACTCTCCTACCTTATTAATGACGCAATGTGTCTGTTCTGTAGGCGGCAACCGGGGATGTGTCAATCGCCTATCACTTCACGCCGTGTCATCCTTTGATCTGACCTCTCTTGTCCTGTCCCAGCCCTGCATCATATTTTCGTTCTTATGTGACCGCAGCGCGAGCCTGAGACTGTTTTTTATTTCTACTGCTGCTTTCATTGGTACTCATAATCAAGACTAATGATAGCACCATTCAGCTCCTCCAAGCTCCTCCAACTGCCTCGGTCTAGTACTTACAGCCTGTCTCTCGCCGCCGAGTTTTTAGACTTTACGTTCGACGCCGCCTATGCCCGCATTCGGATTTATTTGTCAGGACTCATCGGAAATTTCTCTCCTCCGGTCACTCTTCATTAACATATATATACGTGACCATTACACGAGGTTCTTCTCACACGCCACCGACAGCCACGCTGAAGATCTTGTTTATGATTTGGAAATCCCTCTTATCGCTCGGCTTCTTGTGCCATGCCTATGCTTCATTGGCTGCATCTCCTCTACCCACCGCGACCACTGACGTCGTGATCGTCGGGGGCGGCTCGGCGGGGACCTACACGGCTATCCGGCTGCAGCAGCTAGGGAAATCTGTCTTTGTAATCGAGAAAGAAGACGTTCTCGGCGGGCACACCAACACGTTCCACGTACCAGGGACCAGCACGACATTCGACTACGGCGTGATCAGCTTTGCCAACATCAGTGTGGTGAACGAATATTTTGCAGACATGGGCGTAGCGCTAGGGCCGTTTGACGTCGGCGTCGGCGGTACGACCGAGTACGCCAAGCTCAACGGCGGCGATGCCACGGCTACGACCACAGTGCCCCCCTCTGTCTCGTGGAGCAACGCCACCAACGTCGGCCTAGCACTGGAAGGCTACCTCGCCCAGAGCGCCAAGTACGCGCCGTTCCTGACTACCGGGTACGACCTCCCGGATCCTGTACCCGAGGAGCTGTTGATGCCGTGGGGTGCCTTTGCGCGGAAGCATGGCATCGAGGCCTTCGACTACACCCTCTTCTCGCTAATCCAAGGCTCCGGAAACATGCTCGCCCAGCCCGCACTCTACGTGCTCAAATATTTCTCCCTCTTCGACGTGCAAATCCTCGCCGGTATCCAGCCCGGCTTCCTCACCACCGCCGCCCACAACAACCACGCACTGTACGATGCTGCACTGGCGCGCCTGCAGGCCGGTGCTAATAACAGCGCCGTTGCGCTCAGCAGCAACGTGACGCGCATCGTGCGCTCAGCGTCGTCTGTGTCCGTTTCCGTGTCCACGCCAGGCGGCGCCAAAACGGTGCACGCGAAACAGCTGGTGATCGCCATCCCACCGACGCTGCCCAACCTCGTCTCGCTGGGCCTGGACCTGACGGCCAACGAACGCGCCCTCTCCGCGCAGTTCAACAACAGCTACTACTGGGACATGGTGATCGCAGGCACGGGGATCCCCGACAACCTATTCATAGACGCCGTCGACTTTGCGGCCCCCGACGCCATCCCCGCACAGCCGGGCCTGTATGGGATCGGTTCGGCGGGCGTGGACGGGCTGGCACTGGCCTACTTCGGCAGCCCGCACCGTATGAGCGATGCGCAGGTCAAGGCCGAGACGGTCGCAGCGCTGCGCCGCCTGGCGCACGCGAATGGGTGGGACAATGGAACGTTTGCGCCCGAGTTTGTCGGCTTCCACAACCACGCGCCGTTCCTGCTTACGGTGGACGTCGGGGCGGTCCGCAACGGGTTCTATCGACGCCTGAACGCGCTGCAGGGCGTGAAGAACACATGGTGGACCGGCGCGGCATGGCAGACGCAGGATTCCTCCTTGATCTGGAACTTTACGGAGGCTGTGGTGCTGCCGAAGGTTGTGGAGAGTTTGAGATGAGGCATCCATCGTCCGCTTGATGAAGGTTCAAAATTGTTAGCTGCAGTATTTCGGAAAATTATGTGTTGACTTGGATTGCCAGTGTTGACTTGGATTGCCAGTGATACTGATTACAGCTGGGATACAACTAGTGCAAGGTACCAATGGAGCAGAAAATTCCCTGGTATAAATTTACTCAAGACCCCATGAACAGGACAAAGTACCATTGGTTAAACGGCGGTTTAATCCGGTTGACCAACGGTTTGTTCACGCTGTTAAACGGTGGCTTAATCGAACGGTGGTTTAATCACCGGGTTAAACGGATTATAACGGATTTTTCAACAGGTGCCACGCTTGAGTCTGCATGACATGGACTGTCGGTCATCTATCTACGGATCTCATCAACTACTGGGCCAAATCACTTGATCCCAGGTTAGTTTTGAAACCAGTACTTTCCCATAATAGTCCATGAGCTACCAGAGCCCTTGGTCCTCACCTGGAATGTAGTTTGTTCTGACAGCCAGGACGTAAAGTAGTCGTTCAGAATAACTGGTACATATCCGGGATGGTGTAGGGGTAACATTACCGCCTTTCATTGGACGTGAACCTCCTTTGGGTGCGCGGCAGCCCGGGGTTCGATTCCCCGTTCCGGAATTCGAATATGTAGTCCAACACTTTTTATAGTGCGGACATGACAACATTGCTCAGTACTCAGTTTTACCATTTCGGGTGTTTAAAATATGATTGCGCGTCGGTCATACTGGGCAATTGCCGTGGAGGCAAACGGGGTGCGGAAGGCTCCCTGCTGCAAAACATGGACCTCGATTCGACCCCGGTGCTTGGAGTGCATTAAAACTCCAGCGATCAAGGCTCCCTTCGGCTTCTAGACCTTGCGCACATCAAAGTAATGGTTACTGGCTGGCGCGAGTAAGCCACATGTTGAAGAGACTGACTGTGTGGCCATCCAGGATACGACCTTGAAGTTATGCATCATGTCAAATCGTTGCCCAGACTTGAGCGCGATCCCCAATGCTCTATCTGACGGCCGGATATATTCATCGGTTATACATATGTCAATGTTACAGACCTCAGCAAACACTGTGTCTACAATTTGCTCAGAAAAATACTTTTTTCTGCGACATACGTAGACTCTTCATGGTCGTAGACGGCGCTGTTGATCTGGCGCACTGTCGATAGGTTCCCTCTCGGCATATGAGTTGCCTCTCGACCCACCACTCAAAACGGAATGTCAGCAAGTTAACTCACCTCCGCCGTCCTCCGAATCCCCATCCCAGCACCTCCCTTACCAAGCTGATATCGTACGAGCGGCTCGAGCACATAAAAAATGCGTGCGCTTCCACGCCCTGAGTTTCTTCCCAGCAGATTGCCGACCATATCTATCACACCCGCCATGAACAGCACGGCGCGCTTGTTGGCCGTAATCGGCTTCGCGGGCGGCGTGCCCCCGGCCGCGGCCCACAAGACGAAGTCGTAGAACGGGCGCGGCGTGCCGTTGGAATGCGGCCTGCGGTGGCGGCGTGCTGCGGGTGCGCAGGCGCGAAACGGTCTGCTGCGAGGATGGCCGCATGCGCGACGTTCGCGACGTACGTGCGGTCAACAAGGTTGGTTCTGTCCCTGGCATGTCTTGTATCTTGCTGAGCAACATGCTGGTAACGTGGCCGGGGCTGTATGGGCAAAGGCGTGGATCAGAAAACGCAGTGTGGGCTGGGTTGGGGAACGACGCACCCGTATGGCGTGGCCGGGCGGATTACCGGTGTGCGCAGGGCGTCCACGTCGTTGAAGTTCACTGCACTATGCCCTCGACGATCCCTCGAATGCCTCGTCCCAGCACTATGGCGCATCCACCTTGCGCAGCATAAGCCGGTGGCGCCCGTCGAATTCGAAAACGATATCCGCTCGCCCAACGCAGATCAGCTGCTTCACGGCACCGCCCTGGCCCCGCCGCAGACAGGACGTGGCATATACCGTCCATATTCACCTTCTTGTGGAGCTCCATGAACTCCCGAGCCTGCGCTCGCTCCTGCGCTAGCGTACACGACGGCGGCAGATTTTGTTGGGCCGAATCCTGTTGCGATTGTCTTAGCGATACACAAACATTCAATGCAATATCTAAGATCTTTGTCGACATTCATTGACAATGCAATATCTTTGTCGTGCAAGTTGCAGCCACACAAAAGCCGTCCTGCCGGGCAGCAAAAAGGGTTGATTGTATGCCGGGCAGCCGAATCGGGTGCTGATGGTATGGACACCGATTGCAGCTGACGGTTTGTGTAAAGGCCGCCGATGCCTTGCGCAATGGCCGTAGCAACTATTATATTATCTGAGACTGATTACAGGGCCACCTTAGTATTTTTGTCCTTGAGCCCGTACAGAGAGTGCAATGGATACAGGTTTATGGGCTCAGAAACAAAGGTATACATCCTATGTGTGAGCTGAGATATTTTTCGGAAAATCACATTTGCACTCTATGGCCTGCCGAATTTTATTTCTGGCGGTATCCCCAAAGGGGGATAAACGACTTAGCACCCGGCCAAATTATTCGTGCACACCCGTGCTATTCACCCCAGTGCATGCCAAATCATTCGGTGGATAGGGCTACATTGTTGGATACACCTGAAGTGCAAATCTGGCATGTATTGGGATCATAACTGTTTGTCGTTCCAGCCATCTATGATGGGTGAGACTGCTCTCCGGACGGAATGGCCTGCCTACTGAAGGACAGAGTGTAATGAAACCCGAAATTACGACACAGATGGCTCCAGGGGAAGTATCAAGACATACTTAAATGCAAAGGACGACCCCCACATATCCATAATCCGTCCGGACCAACAGTATCCATCTTTATGTGCAACTGAAATTCGATAGTTTAGAGTGGTAGCTCAGCGTGAACCAAAAGCCGGGCAGTTGAAAAACAAACCCGGCATTGGAGGTTGGTGGGTTAGTGGTATTGAATGCAACAACCAAGATCCAAGTCATTAGCCAAGACCGGTGGATAGCTATAGAGGTAGCTGGATTGTGCCGCTCGGGATCAGGTCGAGATGATCTTGAAGGGTCCAAGAAGCAAGGGAGAATCATTTTTTCATTGAGTACGGCGTTGAGTCACTAATTCGAGTCCGAGGATCCGAACGAGCCCAAAAACTTGCGGATCGGCGAAGAATTGGTCAAGAAACAAGCCAAAGACGAGTTCGGAGATAATAAATGATGTTCACACACCGGCATCTTGATCAAGAACATCCCGTAACTTTTGATCGCGGCATCACTTTGCCTCGAAATTTGACATACAGTGTCATATCCTGACTACAACCACCAAATCCCGGGATTATAAATCACAGTGTCTTGTACTATGCAAATGGCCCACTAACTAGTTTGGCCCGTCAAGCAGTCGCTGATAATGCCTGCAGTATGGGCGGGCCGCTGCATGCATGGGCGGGCCGCGGGTGCTTCTCGTCGATCCCGAGTTAAATTATGGTCATCGCACACATGTTCAGAGCTACGCATTCCAAGGCGACGGGACACTTGAACCAAAAAACATGTAAAGACATCATGAACAGAGTTCAGGACTTCTCTCAAGGCAGTGGGGTAGTACTAGCTTGTGTCGAATTTCATAAACAAAACATTGCGAGCGCCGAGCGGAAAGCAGTTACAAAACATGGACAGCACGATAACAGAGGGGCAAGAAATATTGGACAGGAAGTTCAACCAGGCAGGGGGGAGAGATCTATACGCCACCGGCGGTCGGTGAGCCCGATGAAGTTTGTTCTGCGTTATGCTCACTTGGATGATACATCGATACTAATGCTTGCACGAGGCTTGAATATCCCAGTCACCAGGTGCGTGTAGCCTTATTAAATTTAGTGAGAAAGAGTGTGGACCTTTCAATAACACAGAGACATAAGTTACGCGGCGGGGCCCGGCGTGAATCGCGGCGAGCATCGCTCGGCACTTCTGGATTTCATCATCCAGCTTGCGCTGAGTGTCCTGCTCAATCGAGAGCTACCACAATGGTCAGAAAAAGAATAATAAAATCAGCAGGGCGTGCGCACTTGGATATTGGTTTGGATCCTCTTGATGTCCTTTATGCACTTGTCGATGCCCTTCAGTAGAGCCCTGACGTCCCGAAAGTATTCCTTCCATCCATTGCTTTCGATCTCGAGTAGCCGGCACTGGATCTGCGACTTGAATTTTTCCGCTCTAATTGCCGGCGAATCAATTACTGGCACGGTGAGCAGCGACACACTTACAAGCGCAGAAGAAGCTCCTGGTGCATGGACGAGAGGTCACTTGCGCTGCTGGACGGTGCACGCGTCAAGAGTTCATTTGCGGATGCGATGGCAGCTGTGAGCGCGTTGATTTTCGCGGCGGGAGTCTGACGTCGGGCCGCGTGGTACACCAACAAGGCCAGCAAAAATCCGAGACAAATATAGCGCGCGATATTTCCTGGGACCAACGCGAGTCCAGCGACTAGAATGGAGGATTGGATGCTGAGGGTGTTGTCGGACATGGCAGAGGTGGGGGAGTGGTTAGCATGCAGCTCGGCCATCAGCGCGAAAGTGAGCTTGTACAGCCCGATCGATTCCCCATTTGGATGTGTGACACTGGGAATCATCTGTCATGTCAATCTTACAGCAAATCCTGATCGCCACAGCGTGGTTCTGCACCACCTAGACTACGAGACACCTCGAATACCTATCAGAAACCTGACCAAGGACTCGTGAAAGAACCTAATCCAGGACTCGGATGACCTATATAAATTTCTCTTTTGTGCACTCTTCAATTTTGTATGACGGCATATTGACCGCCTGAGTCCGATCGCAAATAAACATATGAACGCCCGACAATGAATTATGAACTACACGCCATGATGGCACGCACGCATGGCCCTAGGTTCGGATATCCGGTCCGGAGAGTGGGTTGATCCGAACCTGCATGGCCCCAGTATTAAATTCTGTCCCGGAACCAAATAAATCGCCGGGAATGACCAATCTCACGTGATTGTCCCAGGCCTGATTCCCGTCAAGCACTCACCCTGATCCCTTGGCCGCGCATTTGTTGCTTCTCGGTGGCGCTTGGGGCGCACTGGTAGCTGCCGATAAAGTACCTTATCTCAGGTTCCAGAGCTACTGACAGAAGCAGGCCCTGGCCTCTCTCTCAACGCTCGCTCTTTTGTCAAGACGCACCCGCGCCAAGGTGTTCGACGTCCCCGCTCCCGTCGTCTTGTTGATCTCCTCGCCGCCCTCAACACCCGGTCTCATCTATGCGTCCCCTCCGCGCAACCGCCCTTGAAGAGGCCCTCTGCACCCCGCCTCCATCCCTCGGCTCATCCTCCATCTCCTCCCACCGCCTCCCCCGCCTCTCCACTGACTGCGTTCCGGGGCGCGCCCGCATCAAGCAGCACCACGCCGCACATCGCACGGGCCGCGGCCTTGCTCGCGTCGCACGGGCACCCGGACGCGCAGGAGCTCTTCCAGCTAATCTCCGAGTGTGTGCGCGAGGACAACGTTAACGCGCGCGTTGGGCGTGCCGGCGTGCGGGACGGCGGGTCTGCAGGCGTGACAGCTGCCGCGGTGGGAGACGATGCGCTGGCGGGTGTCCCCAGCCCGTTTGACGGCCTACGGCGACGCGCCGCGCGTGTC